CATCACCCCCTGAGAAAATGGGACCAGCTCTTTTCCTCTCCTTAGACCTGCTCAATGGGCTTTTGTCAGCTGTTGAATTATAGCATTAAAATTCAAATACTAGGGATTTAATGGAGGATTATTATGACACCCTGGTGCATTCTTTGTGTTGCTCTTGGCAACAAACCCAAGGAATGAGTGAAAGAAATAAAAACGAAGAGCTGTCTTGTTAAAATCATGCTGCTGCTACGACATATTTAGGAGGGAGAAAAATGGTTCCCTAACTTTGACTATTATTGTTGTACCAAATGGAATGAAAACTCTTTTCAGCCGGTAAGCATGACTTGCAGCTGAACTCTATTCCAAAGCTGTTATCATTTTCTGAAAACAGGTTTCTTTCTACTTTGTGCACAAAATAAATTGGAACAACAGTTAGGAGAAGGGCATTACATCCATTTACTACTTTCCCTTGCTCATCAGAAAATAAAAATACTTGTTAACATTCTGGCATGCCAAAAGTGTCAAGAGATTATTTTAAAGTAGAAAGTACAATCTGTCTCAGAATATATGCATGGTATTTTGTGTATACATATTGCATATGCATGACTGCTACACAAATGCTTAAGTTGTTCATATTTTTCACAAATGTCTCTAGATTTCAGGAATGTTTTGCAAAAAACCTGACCTTTTTCATAGAACAGAATAGGATTTGGTCTTTAAATAGAAATTGCATTCTGGATCATATAGCCAGACTGTGCAGTGAAACATCAAAGAATTCATACATGGAGCACAGTCTTTGCTGATCACCAGTTTTCCTTGAAGAAATTAGGCCCAAATTCATCTCTGGTATAACTGCTCTGAACTATCCAGACATGTATTTTCACTCTTTTTCTTTATGCTAATTGCACTGAGTATATAAAAAAAAAAAAGTAGAAGTATAGGGAATATGAACTTTATATACAAACGAATACAGCAGTAGATTGAAACTTTGGAAGGCAACTTAACATGTCCTCAGCAAATGAGTATTAGCATAATATATTTAACATGGTGAAATTAAGATCGTGAGCTGAAGCAGAAAGATGTAGCCAGTTCCTGTTGGGACATATCACAGAGCAGTTATCCTGAACTCCTTTTCCTGGGTAATGAGAAACAGACTAGGGCAAGCTTATTAAACATGACCCTGCACACCTCTGCTTGCGTTGGCTGAGAAGACTCTGCTAACAGTGAGCATCTGACTGGTGAGCACAGCTGGGGCAGAAGCAAATTGGAGAGGGGTTATAGATAAAGTGAAGTGATAGTCAACTAATGACAACAACAGCAACAAAATAGCCTCATCTCAAACACCTTGGCATTTAAGTATTAAGAAAACTTTGAGTGAGGATAAATGGAGCGAAGGCTGCTTCAGTATTTTGTTTTCATTCGTAAAAACCTGAAGGCATTATGTTAAATTCTGTCTGCAGACCTCAGTGTCCCACAGAAATGGAAAACATTCCATAAATATACCTGGATTTTGAGAACTGTACAGAAACAGGAGAAAAGTTTTTCTTATATCCCAAAGAAATCAATGATTGTGGTAATATCTTCATAGGGCTTTGTGTGAGCTTGCCTTGCACAGAAAAGTGTCTTTCAGGTTTTGTCCAGTTCTAGGCTGAGGATCAGAGCAATGGACATCTTGAGATGTTTCATTAATTTGCCCTGTCCTCTTAAGGACTTCATATAGGGAATTGATTAAGCCCCAGGTGCTTAAGGAACCATTAGAAGTTTAAATTCACCCGAGGTATGCCCATCATGTCTGCAACCAGAGTGTCGAATAGTTGTTGAGTGAAATCAGTGGCAGGAATTGTGCCAAAAAAATAAGTCAGCTGCTGGGAACTTGTGGAGAAAAGATACCTTGCTTACAGGAAGGACAAAGGGACAAGAGGGCCCTCCAAGGAAGGGTAAAAGCATCTGAGGGGGCTTAAGATAGTGTGAAGAAACCTAAGGCAGTTTTGAACATGGTTTTCCCATGCATGGGGTATCTTCTTTTATTTTCACAGTACAAACGTGCCTTCCAAACTACTGATCTTTGCTGATATCTTCCAATAACTAATGCAAAATATGTCAAACATGTATCAGACTCAAATGTATGATAATGTGTCCTAAATAACACCTTGCCTAGCCACCCCAAAAAAACCTGCAGTGTGTAATGAAAATAATGACTCTTCAGAATTAAAGCACTGACCAACATAATGTGTGAAAGAAAATACATGATTACCAGGTGCAGCAACCTAAAGAGAAGCCTTGTTTTTGAACTGATCTGTTTGCACTGGTGGAGATGCCATCGCTGCTAGGAAAAGTACCACATCTGTGAATGTGAAAGTTTCTGGTTTCCATTATGCTCACTTTAGCACCTGGGATCTTTCCTTTGTTTTTCTGTACAGTAGCTCCTTTATTGTCTGCTGCTGGCTTCACACATTGGAAACTGGACATGTGAAGTAAAGAGAATATAAAAAAACCCAAACCAGCAGATACCCCATTCTCTCATAAATACTTCTCCTGTTTGTGTTTCCAGACTGTCAGGAAAGATCTTTCAAGAGCATTGCATAGCTGGACACTTGAGAAAGTTTCTTGACACATTCCCACTAAAAGGTTTTTCTTATAAATGGTGTTGGTTAGACAGACATCAAGGATACATGGTAGCTGTCAGGCTCTGGAAAAGCATCAGCTTTCTACACTGCAAGTTCTTTATTAAATCTTGATAAATCTAGTGTTAGCATTTGGCTCCCTTTATTTGAATATGATTACTTACTGATAATTGAAGAACTTGTATTTTAAAGATGCATTAGTTTATGGAGATAGTGAATATTTTAGAGTCCCTCTACCATCAATATTACTAAACTAAGTCCCTATGCATGGTTTTAAAAGTACTATTTGCTCTTGGAAAAGTACTGTTTGCTCTTGACTTACATCTCAGGTTACTGCACATGGCACAACTACCACACATAATTAACAAATAATGAGGTGAGACTTCCAAATTGTAGCAAATATGTTTTTTCTCTATAATTTTTGTTCAGCCTTTTATTTCTGGGATTATTCCAGATTTGGACTCGGGGCACTAGCTATACTATAATTTCCAAAGCAAATGGTATTCCTACTACAAAAGTTAACATTTCCTGTCAATGAGAAACAAATCACAATACTGTGGGAAAAACAAAGTTCCGCATACCTGGCTGACCTCAAGAGAAAATTGCCTACTGAGAAGGAAAAAATATTATTTTCCTTCAGTTGGAGTCCTTTTTTAATTTCCCATATTGTTTCCTGATGATGAGACATGGCTACACTGAGAAGCACCTGTGGAACAAGCAAACAAGTCTATAAATAAAAAAGCCTTTCTTGATAACAGAACTTTGCTCTCTTTTGCTCTTTCATCTTCAAGAAAGACAGCTAGGGGTACTAGATATGAGCTCCCCTGTCTTTTCTGCACTGGCTTCAGCTAAACTTGGCAGAGAAGCCAAAATGACAATGCAAATGGGATTACAGTTTAGATAAATAGTAGACTACAAAAAGTTCTCAAGGTTTGCTGTGTATTAACAGAAGTATTTTCAATTGCTTTTGGCTATTTTCTGTTCTCTCACTATCAATGAAGAGAGCAATAGCCAGGCTCTTGCCTCATGCTATTCAAAAGCTCATCCTCCTCAAATTGCTTTCTGCACACATGCCCTGCAGAAAATGCAGTGAAATGTCTGTTTTCTCCTGTGATCTCATCTTTCTGCCCACTCTGATGTCCTAAACTAAAAGCTACTTCTTTCCAGTTGCCTTGATAAATCCTGAAGAAATTCCACTTCATGGCTAGGTGTCTGGTGTTATTCTTCCGCAATGTCAGTTGTAAGAAAAAACATATGCTTTTCACATGTGAAAGTGTTTAGTTATTTACTAAGGCACTCGCTGTTTTGTATATATTCTACAGAGATTTCAGAAATTTGTCATGAGGACAACTGTAATATAATGCCAGCCAATGGAAATATATTATTTTAATGTTTGTCATTGAACATATGGCATTTAGTATATGGAAGAAGCACACATTAAAAGGTGCTTTGTTTTGGTGGTTTTAGATTACTCTTAATATTGGTGGTTTTCTGTGACAGATGTCATATACCTTCATAAGAAACAAATCCTGTCTCAGACCATATGATCCATATTGAGAATGCAGATAAGAAGTGGGAGAAGGAGTAATCAGAGAATGATGATTTGACTTATTAAAACTTTGGGAACAGAGTAGTATTTTGGGAACAGAATGCACCTCTTGTTTGTCTGTTAGAGCTTCTTGAATATTTAATGGAAAACAGCAGTTTTAAAGTTGTTCCCAATTTCCTACTGATTAAAAGATCCATTTTACTTCCCTGTAACATTGTATGAAATACTTGTCTACATAGCTCCTGAAATTATATCCAAAATTCTTTTACTTTTTTCCAAGCCAAAAATTGTTTTGCCAAGATGGAAACTACACTTTCAAAAAATAATATTCTAAAAATTATTAAAATGGTTAAAGAAAAATGTAAATAATATTTTAAATGTTATTGGCTAGTTTATGAAAAAGAAATATCAAATGGATGTGAAAGCTAACTTTTTGGAAAATGTCCCATTGTTGGACTGTTTTCATTCCAAATTGTGTAATCCAGAGCCCATAATATTCATCAGTATAGCTCAAAAAACTTGTCAGTTCTTTTGGTCTTTCCCATCTTTCTCAAAGACAATAACACAGTCTCTGTAGATCCTTTTAATGATGCTGAGTTTCACTTCTCTGTGGAAAATGTGCCAAAAATCAAGTTGAAAAATCTCTCTCTATTGTATTCAAATGTAGCATCATTTGATTTTTGTCACATCACTGCCTCTTTCTCTAAAATGTTGAAGTATATGTGTCAATACCAACCCTCACTTTCTCATGTTTCATGACCATTTTGTGATGACCTGAGTTTCTTCAATACATTTCATACATTTCCTTTTTAATAATTATTTTTATTTATTTATTTTCAATTTTCAAGCTCTTGTTCCAAGGCCATCTCCAAATGTGGGAGCAACATCAATGGGATACTCCCTGGCAAATATATTACTTGCATTTTTGTTTAATGATTGCATTCACTAAACCCCTGCTAATATCCAAGACTTGGGGGGGGGGGGGGGGG